CTGTACATTTACAAAACAAAACTCACGTAGAAAATTATAATTTTTTTTGTTAATGTTTTTAAGTGATTAACTTAAATATATATGTTTGTATTGAAAATATTTTTGTTATTTAATAATCACCCCATATCACAGTTGACAGTTATTCTTAAAAAAGGGCGCATAAAAGAACGCCAAGGACGCCAAAAATTCAAATACATATTACTATTACTGTTACTATTAAAAGATTATAAAATATGCATAATTTATTATAAATGCTTTTTAATTAATTTCCAATATTTACAAATAGTTATTGATTATTTTAGTTCAAATGAATTTTAAATGAGATCAGGCTGTAAAAGTTTAAGTAAATTATCCGGACACATCTAGTTTTGAAGTTATAAAAATCTTGCGGAAATTCAAAGTTCAGTAAAAGAAATTTGTAACTTTAAACAAAAACGCAAATTCATTATGTTTAAAACCTGATAAATGTAATAATATTTCATTTTGTTTATAAGAGTACCTTTTTGTTAAATCCATTCTCAACGAGAATGAATTTAACAAAAATATCTCTTTTAAGGTATAAGGTAAATCAAAAAGGAAACAAGTTTTAAAAAGTGTTTTTAAAACCTGTTTCCTTTTTGTTTTGTTCTAGTTTTTATATAAATAACCAGTTATTTTCAATTAAACCATTCCTTCCGACTTTATCAACTAGGCCCGGTATAGTCTGATACAAACTCCATATGAGCTCAAAATCAACTTTTCAAAAGCAATACTTTATTCTAGAGCGAAATTTTTTAAGATTTTATGCATGCCAATTATTCATGTAAACAAGGCCTTTCAAAATATTCCAAAAATTTCAATAGGACGGCATTTGTGGCATGTTTTGCAGGGTTATCCGCTTTCTCAACAAAATTCACGTTTTTTGTTGTTTAGGTTTGTGATTACTGTTTTTGCGTAGTAAAATAATGCCAAATCGGGCCAGAATACATATACATTATCTGAATGATACTTATTGATGAATGGAATAAGTTTCTTATTAATGCATTTGTTTATGTAGATTTCTTGATTAACAGCCAGTCTAATTGACAGCCACTAGGCACAAAATAGGGCTGAGAAATACCATTAAAAAAAAAACAATCTATGTAAAAATCGCGTCAGAGATCATCAACGATTATTGATGATTGGTTTACGATGAGACAATCAACTGCACTTGTTATGAAAAAAAATGATAAAAAAAAACGCTAATTAATAATATCTGTCGCCTCATCGAATAAATAAAAGTATGAACAATCAGTAAAAATGGCTATTTTTGGTAAAATTTTGAAAAATACTAAAATGAATGTTTTAAATTCTTAAATCTACCTATTTCAATATGCGTTTTGCAAAAAGTTGAAAATCTTCCTTATTTTAATCAAATTTTCCCTTTTTAAAGACTTTAGCAACGCTTTTTCTGCAATCACTAATCGACATATATTGCGGTTTATTACAACATATTGCAATATTATTGCGCGTTCAATTTAAATTGCTATATATTGCTCAATTAATTGTCCAATAAAATATCAATAAAATTATACAAATGTAATGTGTTTGTAAATGTAATTTAGATGCATTTAAATATAAATAATTCTGATGCTTATCTAATTGCCTGTGTCATTTTTTTGTTTTACATAAATTTAATGGGTTTATAAGCAGTAGCAAGATTGTTGTTAAAATATTACAATATAATTGCAATATAATTGTAATATTATTGCAATATTATTGCAACTAATATTAGGTAATCGATTTTATGATTGTAACTGAAGTTACAACCATGCTTTCATTGGACTTTATACTGCAGTGTAAGTGCGGCCAGGCAGGTTTCTTCGGCGCACGTTAGACATGGCTTGCATGAGCCCAGCAAACCTGTCTGGCCACACAAGATACCCGTGCAAAAATAACATAGTTATTTATAAGTAAAGACTCATAAAATTTTATTAATGGTGAATATATGTGCAATGAAACGAAATTTTTTTAATAGAAAGTACGAGAGAAGAACTTTACATTTTACGGCTGAGTCTACTTCTTCTGAAGAGGAAATTACTAATAGTAGTTCTCAGTCCGACTGTAGCAATACAGATGATAATGTTAATGATGGTAGTTTTACCCAAGAGACAGAAGAAATTGTATCTATAGTATCTGAGGAAGAAAATCAAATTCTAGTATCTGAGGAAGAATCGAGTGCTTCCATGTTTCAGTTCTTTAGTTCTAATCCATTTGAATGTTCTTTATTGGATTCAATTGTTAACAAAAAGTTTATGTTTTTAACCTTGTTGTATTTAATGATTAGCAATTCATTTACTGAAATCGCATTTGATAGATTTTTGAAGACTTTGCTGGTATGTTAGATGTAGTTTAAATTGTGCAATGTACTTGTAAATGAATATTGTGAAGCTAATAAAATTATCAATCAACTTAGTCCTTAGCAATAAATGTTGATCTGGCTATTTATCTCTGGCTGCTACCAGAAATGGTGCACATTGCCAATATTTCGTAAAAAAAGTCTGATAAAGTAATGCAGAACGTTCCTAATTATAAAACATTTTACTTGTGAAAATTTTATCCGACTTTTTTTACAAATTATATATTATATAATATTTTACAATTATATATTATATATTTTATATCTATAGTTTTTACAAATTATTTTTTTTACAAATTATTAAATTATAAAAATAATGAAGTATGTCATATTTTTATTTCAACTTGAGGCTGGGGTCTGGCCCAGGCTTAGTTTGGTTGATAAAGCTTGAAAAAATATATTTTTAATTTTTAAATTTTTTTAATAGATTTTTCGCTGTATAAATGACATGCCGTCATCTCATAAAATGATTCGTAGATTTGTTACTAAAAATATATTCTCCCATACTGAACCAACGCATAAATATTATTGTCATAATTGCTGCACAGCTTTAGTTGACACGTGTAAAATAAATACTCATTGTTCATCCCATATCTTTATATTGGATATCATTAGCCAAATGAAACTTGTTTTATTTCTGAATTTGGATGCAATTAAATCATATCAATTGGAAATTATGTCAGGTAAAAGAAAGAGTGATTTTATTTCTAGACCAAATTTTGTTGAAAATATGAAGTCTGCAAATGTTTTACATATTCATTTATTGATGTCAACAGATGGTGGAGAACCATACACAAAAAAAAAGATTACAATGTGGCCATTTCATGCTATTATTTTAGATTTACCATCTTATAAACGATTCCTATTTGAAAATACACTACTTCTTGGTTTATGGTTCTCATTATTAAAACCTAATTGGAATGCTTATTTAAAGGTAATTAAATTATTGATTGTTATTTTTTATTTTAAAAGTAGTTGTCAATGGAATTACCTATAGTAGTAGAATTCACTGTTCCAGCCGTGACAAGAATAAATTGGGCAACGTTACTATATTACTAACTTTTTTTTAGGAGTACATCAATGGAAAACTGTTTGAAACACCCCTTGAAATTAACAATATCCAAGTAGTTATTCATATTGTTGGTTTTGTTTTCGATTTGCCTGCAGTGGCTTCAATCATCAATCATAAGCAGTATAATGGTGAATTTGGATGTCACTATTGCGAACATCCTGGTAGAACAATTGAAAGAAAACATGGTTCCGCTAGAATTTATTCACATTCAGATACAAATTATAATCTTAAAACATCTGAAATGTATGCCATATATGCTAGATTAGCCAAAAAATCAAAAGTATCTGTATTTGGAATTAAAGGCTCAAACATCTTTAGTGACATTTCATTTATTAAAGTGCCAGATATGATACTTATTGATGTGTTACATTTGTTTTACGAAAAATTGCTCAAAAAAGCTTTTAGTTTGTTTATTTTCTGTTACCAATAAACATGAATCATTTTTTATTGGTAGTGCAAAATTAAATGCTATGGAAATCTTACTTGCTGATCAAAAAATGCCACATAACATGCCCAAGCCATTAACTATTAAATCATTCACACATTGGAAAGGCCATGACTTTGAAAACTTTATTTTATACTTAGCAGTTCCATATTTTTTACCATATTTGAATCCTGACTGCATGATGATGATTTATTCTCTAGTAATTGGTATGCGTTTGTGTAGCAGTGAAATATGTTTAGATAAGGTGTTGCTTATTAGTCAGCTGTTTAACTTTTATCAAAAATCATTGTCTGAGTTGCTTCCTTTATATATGAATACTATAAATGTTCATTTGCTTGGTCATGTTAGCGATATTATTAAAATGCATGGAAGTGTTACAAATTACTCAATGTTTTGTTTTGAAGCTCGGCTAAGTAATTATAAAAAAATGATGAAGGGAACACATAGTCATCCACAACAGATTGTACAAAAATTTCTTGACTTCAAAACAGCTTCTTGTTTTTTGCAAACAACAGATCATCCTAAAAAAGTTGAAGTTTGTAAAGCATTAAATATTGGCATTATTGAACAAGAAGAATTGCAGTTGTTAAATCCGGGCAGATTGTTGAAACATGGTATTGTTTACCATTCAAAAGGTTATGGCAAACATAACAGCTACACTTGTCAATTTGGACATAATAAGTTTGGTATCATATTAGATTTTCCTTTAGTTGACAATGTAATACATGTTCAGTTACAACTATTGAATGTGAAGTGTAAGTTAGTTTCTACTTTTGGTGATATGATTGGAAATTTGGAAATTAACTTTGATGATGACTTTTTTTTTATTGTTGAACAAACAAAAAACATTGTTGTTATTTCAGCTGACACTTTAGTCTGCAAATGTATATTAATTAAAAGTAAATTAGATACAAAAGATGTATTAATTTTGACACCATTGAAAGAACTTTTCGAATATGCTTAGGGTGGCTAAATGTAAATTTTGTAATTAATAAATATGCTTCACATCATGCATGTGTGTTTTTTTATACTAACAAACATTTTTGTTTTTAATATTTTGATAATTTGATTTAAAATAATTTGATAATTTGATTGAATTTTTTTACAGGTTTATATTTTATTTAATAATGACTTACCCTGATAGAAATAGAACAAAGAAATTAGATTTTGTAGACACTCAAAAGCTTTCTTCTACGTTTGTTCTTTTATGGTACAAGGATTGTGAAAAAGATGAGCGGCATACCTCTCCCATATCACTTTCAAATACACTTTTTAAGCATTATTCATCCGTTGAATGCCTTGAATTTCAAGTGGTAAGTGTGTTAAAAAAAACTGACAGCATTTACCATACATAATATAATTAAAGTCCACCCTTAAATTTTATCCCCCCTCCCTATAATTGACAAAGAAGATAAATTTTGTTTTGTTTTTTTACATACCAGCTATTAGCTGAATATATCAGCTATCAGCTGTTAGCTGAATATATAGAAGCCCACCTTAAAATAGAAGCAAGTATTTTAGATGCCCACGAATAAGATAAAAATGTTTTTTTTGTTTTTTTACATAGCTGAATATATAGAAGCCCACCCTAAAATGGAAGAAGTATTTTAGATGCCCACTTTTTAGGGATGTTGAAAAATGGAAGCCCCTGCTTTTATTATACTATTTATGGTGTGTTGATAATTAAATTTAATGTTTTTTACTTATTAGAAAAATGTAGTGCATGTTTCTATTGCAAATATACAACACGCAGCTGTCATCATCTATAAGGGGTCTATTACCCAATGCTGTAAATTTGAAACATTGCTAGATAACTTCATGGACGATTTTGGTGATGAAAATCCTAGCACTGATGAAGTAAGCAAGTTTGCCCTCAATTATATTGAAGGCAATACTGACGGAAAAAGAAAACATTCTGATGGAGACCAATCCTCAGGTAACTTATGTAATATAAATATGTGACAATGACAAGACAATATTATAGTAATTTTATTTAAAATTTACTCTTCTGTGTAGTGGTGAACTGGACCATGGTGCCGGAGTGCAATAGCACCCTGGGTCAAAAAAAAGGAGGTTACCTTTGTTACCAGACAGAGTTTAGTTATTATGTCTGCTACACAAGTAATAATTAATTAAACATTTTTGCTAAATAATAAAAAATGACACAAAATTCACACAACAATTATCAACACAAGTTAAAGTTGCACTATCCGATGGTAGGTGGGGATCTATTGGATCCACTAGTAGCCTAGCCCCTAGTACACCCATGATTATATGTTTGTAACCACAACTTGTTCATGTTTTTTTTTATAGATTCAGAGAATATTGCACCGGTCTCAGAACATACAGGCCTAAACGGACCTAAATATAAATCGACTCCTAAATCAAAGGTGCTGAAAAAAAAACATGTAAATGAAGTGTTGAATGAAAATTCAGGTAATTTTAATAATATTACAATTTTGTTTATGTAATTTCTTGAACATATTTTTATTGTCTTTTTCATTTATAGAATCAGAGTCCTTTGCATCATTTTATAACAGTCAAAAAGGATCTAAAAAAAGTGAAGCACAGATTATGGCTTTGGAAAAGCGGAAGCTTGACATGCTACTTGACAATGTTGATGCTCCCAGAGCATTGATGCTTCCAATAATTAGTGATGTTCCTAAAACAAAACACTGTGGTTCACCGAAGTTAAGCAAACTATCTTGTTTAGAAGGTTAGTTACAGTCCTATAGTATGAATACTGTGTTTGCCTAAGTTCTACCATATTGTACTTGTACATAGAAGTGCTATATATTTTTTTTAACATTAGCAATTTTGATTGAACAAAAGGAACTTCTTTTTGAACAAAAGAAGACCAACAAACTGTTGTCTGAAATTTTGCGCCCAATAGAAAAAGAATCTGTAAATAATGACAATGTAAGTCAATTTAATTTTTGTAATTTAATTAAAAAAAGCTCATCCAATGAGAGCACAACTTGCTAGTATTTACCAAATTGAATAAAAGAAATATTGATTGCTAAAGGAAAGGTACATTTATATACAAAAGGTTGCATAATTTGACCATCCATTGAAAAATGTTTACTAAATCCGAACTTATCTGTATTATACTTTTTAGGCCGTGTATAATGGTTTTGATGCCGAATTTAAATTGCACGACATTCAAAAACGAGAACCATGTAGCTTTGCAAGAAAATTTATTTTGTTGCGATTCGGAAAGGAGTTTACTTGCACGCGTATTTGTGAACCAAACGGACCTACTGCACGCATTCATATGGAGAATGAAGAAATTCAGGAAGTTAAAGGTGCACTTGACAAAGTGTTTACTTCTTACAACTGGCGTGTTGTTCGGGCGAGTATTAATCAATTTTTCCGAGACAATAAAAGTAGTACAAAAGTTTGAAGACTAAACAAATGAGTGACATTTTTCTTTTGGTGTGGGGTTGTCAGCGTTTTTCGCTTATCCCCCCCCCCCCCCCATTCTATCTGTAATGTATTTTGTATGTTTTGTGTGTTAAATAAATACACCATCTTATTTATTCTAAATTTAGTTGTTTATTTAATTTTTAAAATTCGAATTTAGTATGAATTGAAAGTGTACATAAATGTTTCTTTCAAATGTCAACTTTCAGCGCTGCTGCTAGACGATAATAAAATTGCAAAGAGTTTTATTGTCAATATTGCGAGATTATTGCCCAATATAATTGCAATTTTATTGCGAGATTATTGCCCAAGATATTGGCCAATATTATTACAATTTTATTGTCAATATTGCAATATTATTGCCCAATATATTGCCAATCCATTGCAAGTTATTGGCAATATTGGCCAATAAAATTGCAATATTATTGCAATTAAAAAAAAATATATTGATTAGTGATATCTCCTAAACCAAAAAAACAATTTTTGCTAAACAATGCTCAAGACATTTGACTTCTCCTTAAATATTATATACAATTATAATCTGTACGTTTAGGTTAAAGTTACGATATAATTGCAATATATTGCTTTTTAAAACTTGTTTTAACTTTTTTGCAACTTTTTTCTCTCGCTAAATCTTAATTTTTCAGAAAAAATAACTTTTCATAAAAAATGTAATAGGCTGATATTTTGCAGGTTTAATGATGAACATATTAGGAATGTTGTCTATGAAGCAAAACTTTTTATTTTTTATTTTTAAACTCATTTTTATCATGATTCGGTCCCAAACTTCCCTTAATTTTTTATATCCTAAAGTTTGAATATCAACCTAGTAAAATTAAAAATGTTTTAAAAAATTCTGTTTTATAGAAAACATTCTAAATACATTAAAAAATTCATGTTCAAATTCTCAATCAGTTTTGACTATTTTTGAGTTAGTTATATTAGATAAGGCAATTAGAGAATAGCCAGTTTTGAACACTATGCGGATAAATAATGACGTCATCACGAAAAAATTTTTTGTTCTGATTTATATTTTTTTAAAATATTTTTAAGTCTATCGATAGTTTTAAATTTTTTGTTAAAAAAGTTGCCTTTACCCTGGCACCACCAAAAGGTTCCATAAATTTGTAAGTGGGACCTAAATTCGCTGGGCTGAGCCCTGGGGGTGTAGGGTAGCCTAGCCACGACTATGCAAACAATACTCAAAAAAAAAAAAAAAAAAAAAAAGAGAGAACAAATCAACAAACGCCGATATAATCGTCACAAGATCGGAAAGCAATTTAAGAAACTGTATAAAAATTTTATTGACCTTATTGGTAACCCCTGGCCCACTGGGGATATCCTTAAAAAGAAGATAAGTTTGAAAATCTTCAATTGAAACTATTTTTAAACTCATTCAAGTAAGATGTGTAAAAACATAGCTTTTTTTTATAAATTTTTTCTTCGAAATGCAAATTCAGAATATTGAAAAATAGCCAATCAAAAAAACAATACCACCAAATTCAAATTATATAGCCATCACATTGCGGCGCGTAAAGTTTGAACGAGATCTTTTTGAAAATAATAAAGCTGTCTATTATATGTTAATATATATTTATTTTATGATTTTGAAAATACTTGAAAAAGAAGTTAGTTGCAAAATAAAGTTTACTCATCTAGTTTTTATCACTCTATATTTTATCCTTTTCATGCGCAAGCTGACAAAATTTTAAAAATATAAAATTAAGCAAAAAAATTATAATTTTTTGTAATTTTTTTAAACAGAAAAAAAAAAGCTGTAAGGAAATAATTTTTAAGTTAAGAATTTTCTAAGAAAGGGAGTTTTTATCGAAGATATTTTTAAAGAACCATTTTTATAACTTTTTAAAATAATTTATTTTTTGACCTCGTTCATTTTTAAGGGTATTTTGCTTCAGTATTGCTTAACTGAAACAAAGCTATGAATGGAATAAGTTTCTTCTTAATGCATTTAAAACAAAATTGCACAAACCAAACACTCAGGTAATGCATGGACTAAAGTACATCAACTTAATGTTTGGGTGTGCAGTATGTATATTTTAAGTTTTGTTTTTATTAATTTTTTTGGTTGACACATAATCGTCAAATTTATTCCAGAAAGTTGGAAATTTTCATTTTTTGAAAATATATTATACAAGCAAATACAAAAATCATAATTTTAGGTTTTTATATTTATATTTTAAGTTTGTAAATTTACTTAGTTTACAAATTTAAATATATAGCATCTTTAATTATTCATTAAATAAAGAAAGTTCCTTATATTTTTTAAAGCAGTTGCATAAAGCTCTCTTGTTTTCTTCTGAGGTTTTTAAAACTTTTAGTTAAAAAAGACAAGAGTCTCCTTGAAAAGAACCATTAGAAAATACCAAATCAGAAAAAAACCCTCTCTTTTTTTTTTTTTACTTTATTCGCATGCTCGCTAAAGGCTGCAAGGGTCACCACAATCAAGGAGGCTAGCTTTTTTTAAATATGTTATATTGATTTAAATGTTTATGTTTGAGTCTATATATTTAATTTAAGGCTTGAGGTTTTTCAGGAATATAAGTGTTGATGCTTTTTATACTGCATTTTTTTATTTCATTGGTTTAAATACTGTTTGAATATTTAAGAATTTACATTTGAATGGATGGATCCACACAAGAAGATGAGTGGGAACAATGTAAAGAAAATGTTCAACCTTTAAAAGGTGGTAGAAAGATCACAGATTTAAGAAAGGTTCTTACTGGTGATGGAAATGATTACATGAAAACAACAATTCAGTATGATTATTTTTTTGCTATAAACTATGTAATGGTATAAAGTAAAGTACATTTAAGTGTATAGAATATTTTTATAAATTAAATGTTCGAAAAGATTTTTTTTTTATAATAAAATATTAAACTTAATCTGTCATTCAATATTTTAAAAATTGATATTTGCACTCGATGACAAATTAAAATCAATCAAATCAAATATATTCTGAAATAAGTTGTTTAACATTTCAAGGTTATTTTCGTTATTATGTGTACTTATATAAAGCAAATAACTAATACAATATATCAATATAGATATTTAGAAATATATTAATAGTAATAATAATATTATATTAATAGTGTAAATACTACTAACAATTAAAACAACAATAAACATTAAATCAATATATATAGCAATAATAAGAAATAATGATAGTAAAATAGAAAATAAGATGAAAATTAAAAATAATAAAAAAGTTAATATTACTATCATCTGAGAACAAAATAATAATCATGAGAATAATAATCGTAATATAAAATTCAATCATAATAAAAAAGAATAATAATCATAATAAAAAATCTTTAATAACGATGATAATATTACCAATAAAAATGAGATAAATTGAAATGAAAGAAAATAAATTGATGATGACGATAAATAAAGATTCAAGAAAATTAAAAATATATTATTTTTATTTATAAATATATTATTTATAAATACAAGGCTATCTCCAAAATAAAGCCTTGAAAATATATTATTTTTGAGGCTTTATTTTGAAAAATTGTGTTTCGGGGATTGTCCCCATATTTGACATGCATATCAGCCAATATTGTTGTTGTTGGTGACTTTAATGTTCATCACACTGAATGGCTTGGCTCTAGTGTCAGTGACTCTGTAGGCATTAAGGCCCACAACTTTTGCCTTTCTCAATCCCTAACTCAAATAGTCAACTTTCCAACTCGCTTTCCAGACAACCAGAATCATTTACCTTCTCTACTCGACTTATGTTTTGTTTACTCCACACTCACCCTTAGGTGCTTCTGATCATGGTTTAGTCTCTCTAAAACTATTATCTCATTCTTGTTTACCATCAGAATCCCCCTATCATCGTACATCTTACAACTACCTTAAAGCTGACTGGGACTCTTTCTGTGATTTTCTTCGTGATGGCCCCTGGGTAGAAATCTTTCGTCTTCCTGTTGACAAATGTGCTTCTTACAAAACTTGGTGGATTCAGGCTGGTATGAAATCCTTTATTCCCTCTCGACGATTCCAGGTCAGGCCTCACTCTTCTCCTTGGTTTTCCTCACATTGTGCTGCTGCAATTGCCAATAGAAACCATTACTTCCATATCTATCAGCTAAACAATTCTCCAGAAAACAGATGTCTGTTTATTACTGCTAGGAACCATTGTAAAAAGGTTTTGTCTAACGCCAAAGCCCGCTATTCTCAGATCATAAAATCTCGTATTTTATCACAAAAAATTAGGCTCTCGTGACTTCTGGAGAATCTTTAATAGTATCAATAATAAGGGCAAGTCTGTAATTCCACCTCTTTTGTATGGTTCAGACTTTGTCACCTTACCTAAAGACAAAGCTGAATTGTTTGCCAAGAACTTTTCATTAATATCATCTCTTGATTCCATTAGTTGCGTTTTACCTGATATAGCCGTCAAACAGGTTGATTGACATCCGTATCACTCCAGCTTCTGTATATTAAGTGATTTCCTGCTTAGACTCTTCTAACAAACACTTAATCTCTCATCTCGAATCTCATAACCTACTTTCTGATCATCAATATGGATTTCGATCTTCTCGTTCTACGGCTGATTTGCTATAATAACCGTTAGGTTTTATTGCACATTAGATAAAGGTGAAGAAGTTAAGGCCATTGCTTTTGACATTTCTAAAGCGTTTGATAAAGTTTGGCATGCTGGTCTTCTCCATAAGCTTTCTTCTTATGGTGTATCTGGAAACATCTTTAAGATTATTAAATCCTTCCTTTCCAATTGTAGTATAAAAGTTGTCCTTGATGGACAGCACTCTTCTTTTTATTCTGTAACCTCAGGGGTTCCCCAAGGTTCAATCCTTGGCCCTATACTCTTTTTAATTTACATTAACGATATTCCAGATATTCTCACATCTAAGGTGGCATTGTTCGCTGATGATACTATCATTTATTCTTGTCACGATAAGAAGCCAACTCCCTCTAATTGCTTGCAGGGGGGATCTGAGCTTGAAAAGGATCTCACTCCTGCTACAGCATGGGACTAACAGTGGCTGGTGAACTTTAATTCAGATAAAACTCAATTTTTTTTCAGCCAATTGTTATCGCAATAATTTAGATCTTCCTATATTTATGAACGGTAATGTACTCGATGAGTCTCCTACCCTTCATCTTCTAGGATTAACTCTTACTTCTGATCTTTCTTGGAAACTTTATATCAAATCCGTTGCAAAATTAGCATCTGCTAAAGTTGCTAGTTGGACCTGCTCTTGCAGCCAACCTTCAACCTCTGTCACATCGTCGTAATGTTGCTTCTCTTTCTCTTTTCTACAAATGCTATAATGGGCACTGCTCTAAAGAGCTAGCGTCTCTTGTGCCATCTACTAAAATTCATTCTTGTGTTACTCGTCATTCAATTAAATCTCATCCTTTTTCTGTTACTGTTCCTAAGTGCTCCTAAAACTCTAATTCATCTAGTTTTTTTCCTTGAACATCAGTTCTTTGGAATTCGCTTCCTTCATATTGCTTTCCTAATTTATATAATTTGCAATCTTTTAAGTCATCTGTCATTTGTTATCTTGCTCTACAATCTTCATCTTTTCTCTTCCAGTAACTTCCAACACTAATTAGTGGTTGCTTGCAGCCTTGTTGGAAGCAAAGATGTTTAAAAAAAAAAAATATTATCTTAGATGAGACCCAAAAATAGCATGGTATATATTAAGCAAAGCTTCTAAATTTACATAATGGCGGACTTTGGCCAGCATTTCATTAGATCTCCTGAGTTTTATTGCCAAGTCATTCTGATGGTCTTTGAAGGATAGATTGGAATCAATTTTAATACCCAGATATTTGATAGATCCTACAGGATAAATTTTCTGTCCGTTTAGTCTAAAATTTTAGTGTATTTTAAAAGATGATGAGTTCAGTTTTATTTCAGTTAAGAGAAAGTTTATTTGATCGAAGCCAATGAACAAGATTTGAGAGATCATGAATGATCAATGAACTTTTTTTGAGGATTGGAACAACTCTAGCTACTTTGAATACATCAGGGAATGTGCCACTTTTAAATGAGATATTAATAATAGTACAAAGTGGCTTTGAGATAATGTGAGATGTAAGTTTTAGAAAAAATGAGGGTAGGCTGTTAGGACCATAGCTTATGTTAAATTTTAAAGTATTATTGATAAGATTAGATACCTCATCTTCACTCACAGGATCAATAAAGAGGGAATTAGTATTTGGCATATTAAGTAAGTCTCTAAAATTGCGTTTTATTGGTCTGATTTCCCTGTGTAGTTTTTTATTGACAGAGATAAAATAGTTGTTAAATTTATTTGAGACAGTAGTATGTCCTGTGATAATATTTTCATTCAAATTTAGTTGAAAAGTTGTGCCACTTTTAAATGAGTTATTAACAATAGTACAAGCTGGCTTTGAGATAATGTGAGATGTTATTTTAAAAATATTGATTTTTTAAAAATATTTTCAACAACAACAACAAAACTCTATTTATACGAAAATTTCGTTCAATAACAAAAAATTCAATAAACACTATTGTTCAAATAGTTGCCATATAATTGTTATTTAGTTTGTTATAACTATAATGGTGCTATTTACTGGTTATATGGTTATAACTATTGTATTGGAATGTTGTTTTATATGCCGATTCGGTTTTCTTCTGATCATTCTCCCCATTTGACAGATTCCAGTCTCTCAAATATACTTAATTGTCAAACTCAAAAAGACACAATCTTGTACAGTAGGGTACATTGCTAAAATCATCTTCATTAAAATAATATGGCGTACTGATATTCCTATATAAAATTAAATTTTAATTTGATTTTCTTTTTTGTGTTTTTTAATTTGAAAATGTTTTAAAACTTGATGAGAAAGGCATAAAATGCTTATCTACTAATGGTAATATCAGTTATAGATATGTAAATGCTATCAAGTCAGGAAAACATTCTCCGGAACTTGCAAAGCTCAAATGTGGATCACTGTTTCATTCTTGCTGGCTTATAACAGGTATGACCTTGATATTTTTGTGGACAAGAAATCATAACCTTAAATACAGCGAGCTGGAGATTTCGAAGATATTAGTTGAATTTAGTGTCAAAATGTATTTTAAACTTTGTTTTGAAAATTCTACCAAACATCTGCTGGAGCGTCCTCCAGCAACCAAGACAATTTGGTGAATATTATCACATCATATATACAAACTGGGGGTTGGTACAGCCATAGTGATTGTATTCTGGTTTCACTCTTGACTAAATTTCACTCTAATGAAATTGAAAGAAAGTTTGGTGTTAAAATGATTTTACAAATTAGAGGAAATAATGAGCTTGAAGACACTGCTGTTCGAAAAAGAATATCTTCAAAGATTAACCTTGACGCTACTAGTCTTTAAGAATTAATTTTTTGGAATTTAAAAGGTTGTCTTGAACCAATATTTACATGTAGTCTTTCTAAAGCAGAGATCTCCAAGTTCTTTGGAAATCTACTGAAAATTCCTAATTTCAGTATTCATACTCAAGCAACAGAATGCTGCTTCAATAGCGTGACGGAAGAATCTGCCATTGTTTATGGTCCAGAACGAAGAGATGGATTTGTTAGAACAAGAATGATACATATAGAAGAACTTCCCACCTTTAAATCAAAGAAAGATGTTCTTGAAATATGGTAACTAAGAAATACAAGAAAATAGTGTATTTTGTATTCAAGATTTTATTCAAGAAAAAACTGTAAAACTTAAAACTGCTTCAAATGAGAAGTATATTTTTAATGAAATATTTTATGAAAA